TGATGGCTGATCTTAGTTTAAACCAGCCAGATCGGGCGTTTAAAATTAGTTTAAACCACGGCCGTGTACTGAAAAACTGGCCCTATGTCAGCAAATTGTTTTTTTATTGTATTGTATTAAGAAAACTGGCGACATCACAGCCAATTTTCTGCAGCGCCTTCTTAATGCGCCCAAATTAGTATTCGGCTACATTTTGCGCACAAATATAGTAGATGATATACAAACGCATTTTATCTGATGGCAGTTCCCATTTCCAAAACTGGTAATTCCGATTAAGTTCACAAATATTTGAATTTTTTGGTGTGCCTAAAAGAATAGGTTCGTTAAATTTAGAATTTAGCACCACCGTAAGTTTAAAATTTAGCACCACCTATTTATATATATTTTTTGTGGTATCGTCCACTAAATACATAAAATCCAAAAGCAAAAGTCTTGTCGCCTTTGTTAATTGCATACGCCGGCTGCTGCATTGGAAATCAATTTAAAAAAATGGTTGAATTTATAATATTTTTAGAAAACATCGCACAAAATCTCCTAATTCATCAGACAACGAACACGAAATTGAAATTGAAAAGGAAAACAATGACATAAAGATTACGTACATTGTTGCATTTTTGCGTAAACACGTAAAATTTAATAAAATTTTAAATTATCTCCATATATGTAATACTCCTATATTGGCAGTAAGAGCTAGTACCGTCCGAAAACACTACAGTACAGATATATCAATAAACACATACGAAAGAAAAGGAAGACATACGTTTATAAATAAACATGTACACAACACATATACAAAAACGGCACTCAGTTACATTGACAAAAACGGTACTAGACTGTCTCGCTTTGATTTCGGAATGCCTACACATTGAGAAGTTAGCTTACTGCCAATATAGAAGTATTACATATATGATTATCTCCCGAAACACGTTTATTAATATTTTTTATAGAAAATAAAAGAATAAGCATACATTTTGGCATTTTTATTTTCATTATTTTAAAGAATAAATAAACTTGTGTAATAAATTTTGTGCAAGTGTGTTCCAAAGTTTTTTTCCAAATTGGGAGTGGAACCCTGCGTGGAGAATGAAGGAATAAGAAATCAGGTGATCTCAGCTGTTTTCAAATGTAAACAAACAAAATGGCGCTTTCCATACTTGTAAGCCTCTACGATGATCAGAAAGCGGAAACAATAAATTTAAGAATATTGTAAGTATATTTAATACAATTACATTTGCAAGAAATACTGCTTTCTATTCTATTTCAAGATGTTCGATGACGAGCGTTTGGTGCAACTAGTACAGAGCCATGAAGTCGTTTATAATAAATTTTCCTCGGGCTACCGGCTGCCACTAAAATGGCAATCGGCATGGGAGGCTATAGCCAACGATTTAGGAGCCACAGGTTAGTCCTCATGTATTGATATCACTGTATTTCAATATTTTTTCATGTTTTGTTGCAGAGGAAGAATGCACTAAACGTTGGAAAACACTGCGCGAGCGATAGACAAGAGAATGCAAGGCGTTGGATGCACCGTCCGGAAGCGCTGCAAAAAGCTCAACAGCTTGGTCATTGTTTGATCAACTAAATTTTCTTAAACCTTACGTGAAACCACGAAAGTAAGTGAATATGTTATGCAATGTGGAATGAATATTATTAACATAAAAATTTTCCCAGTAATCGATGCACATTCAACGTGTTGGAGGAAACCGTTTCGCTAGTCTCACCTTCCTCGCAAATGTCATCCCCTATTTTAAATGAAAGCCATGATTCTATGCCACAATCACCACCGCTATTTCCACTAGAAGAGCAAGAGCAATTGTCGGGTGTAGTGGCACCCCGTCGAAAGCGCAAAAAGTGTGATAATGGCAACGAAGAATTTCGTGAGGCGTTGGAGTTGTACAAAAATGTTTGCAAAGTACAGCTGGCACCGAAATGCAGCGAAACCTTGCGAGCTTTTGGGCAGATGATTGTTGCCACCATTGGCGAAATGAGTGCTGAGAAGCAAATCAAAGCCATTCAGCTTGTGACGAATACAGTAATGGCTCTTAAATTGGAGCATGAAGCAGAAGTTTCGCCGTAGACTCCAAATTCACAATCTTCGCACATTCGGAATGTGTATCTTCATTTAACAGTATGTATGTACATACATACGTACGTACAGTGGTCCACAAAATTATAGGAAATTAATATACGGCCAGTTTTGAATATTTGTCTTTTGTTTATTTAATGTTTATTATTCTTTTTTTAAGTCTAGCTGGTTGTACAACAAACACCATATAAATTAGCATCTCAAGCTTTGTACAAAAATTATGAAAATTCTGCAAAATTTCGCCAAAACTTTAAACTTTTTTATCAGAATCTTTAGACAAAATTTTTGTATGCAGTTTTGTGGCCCATTTAATTGGAGTTTAATGAAGTGCAAGTTTTAAGTTGGAGAAAATCCCGTTGTTTTTTGATAATTTTTTTGGATGAAAGTGTTTCATTAAATAAACAAAAGACAAATATTCAAAACTGACCAAAATATTGCACTCCTATAATTTTGTAGACAACTGCATGTAGATGTTTAATTGGATTACTTTAAGTTTATACTTTTGTACTATATGAAATTTTACTAAGAGGCATTTTGGTTTTTAACCGACTTCCAAAAAAGGAGGAGGTTATCAGTTCGTCGGAATATTTTTTTTTTTTTTTATGTATGTTACCGCATAACTTTGGACCACGTCAACCGATTTCGATAATTCTTTTTGCATCGGAAAGGTAGTGTCTCAGAGGTGGTCCCATACTAATCTGGTTAGGATACGATCAGTGGATCATGAGATATACATATATATTTTTTTTTTATATGGGAGTTGAAGTCGGTTTTTTTTTTGCTAAAAATTACTTGTTGTTATTTAATACTGAATAGTTTGACCCTACGCGGGGTGGAGCCCGAAGCATTATTATGCCTTACATTTTAGAATTTAAGATACTGTTGCTTTGCAACAAAGCGCTTTGAAATGGATCTCTTTTTTTGTTTTGTTCATTAATAATTAGTCAATGTTAGTTACCGGTTGCGGAATGCAATTAAGGATGCGTTGCGTCGAGACGACGTGATGGACGGTAACGGGCCTCCAAGATCTGCCAAATCAATTCGCCATGTTTGTGCACTTTCCTCCGTATCAGCGTAGCCGTTTGGACAATACCAACGCTTCTGGTCATTCAACATCACAAAATTGTGAAGCAACAGACAACCCAGTACAATTTTTTCACAGTTTTGCGGACTGCACTCAATTGTACTGCGTAGCACCCGCCAACGGGCAGTTAGTATGCCAAAGGCGTTTTCAATTACCCGGCGTGCTCGTGACAAGCGATAATTGAACACGGTTTTTGTTCGGTTTAAACCTAATCCGGGATATGGCCTCATTAAATTAGGTTTTAGCGGAAACGCTGCATCGCCGACAAAAAAATGGGGGAATACATGCGGTGAACCATCATATAATCGTGTGCTTGGTGGTAATGGCAGCTGATTTTCCAAGAGTGATCGTCCAAATGAAGTACATATGTTGGAAAACTCCTATAAATAGGAACAAAGTTCATAGTTACAAGACTTCAAAGCTTTTATGTAGTATTAAATTTTACCTCCGTCACTCTGGCTTCCATAACTTCCAACACTTGCCCATGTGAACGTATATTTTGCATCACAAGTCGCCATTAAAATAATACTGTAGAACTTTTTGTAGTTATAGAACATGGAGCCGGAATTGTTAGGGCAAGTAATGGCAACATGTTTGCCATCAATTGCTCCGACACAATTCGGCATGTTCCACAATTTTTTGAAATCTTCGCTAATTTGTTGGTATTGAGTAGTACTCGGCTCACTCAGGTAAGCAGAAGACAATGTCCCCCACAATACCTCGCATGTTTCGAAAACAATCGCACGTATTGTAGATTCACCCAGTTTATACATGGACCCAATTATTTCGAAGGAAGTCCCATGTGCAAGATACCTACAGATTAAAAGGAGTTGTTTATAAAACGAACGTTCCTTCATAACTCACTTACATAAGTGTAATTGCGAGCCGCTCTTCACATCCAATTTGCTGTTTGGGTTTTTGTAAAAAAGAGCCAACTAAATTCAGCAGTAAGTCGAATACTTTGCGCGTCATCCTGGTCTCGATGAAAAACTTTTCCTCATCGTACATCTTCTTTTTTAAAAAAACTTTTTTAAAACATCCATTTGGTATTCGGTCACGATTTATTGGGCGAATCGCCCACCGTCGAACTTGTCGACGCTGCTTAGAATTTTTGAAGGCTCGGCACATATTTAAAAATGCTAAATTCAAAAATAAATTACGCTCCATGCTTTCGAAATAAATCAATTGGCAAACGGCACTATAATATATTGTTTACATTTTCATAAGGTTGGTAGTACTGCTAAATTTGGTAGTATGTGGAGCATAATTACCCTAAAGTTTTGTAAAGTTGTGTTACGTTTAAGAAGTTGTGCGAAGTTGTGCGAAGTATGCATAATCAGACCTTTAATAAAGAAGAGGATAAAGCAGAAAACTCTTTTCGTAGGTTGTGTAATAAGTTGTTGTAATGATTTTCGGCTGACCAAAATTTTTCGTGCCCATTCTTTACTTTAACTTAATTAGGAACAAAAAAATGAAATATTACGGTGAAATCTATATATGTACAAAAAACTGACATCTCCTTTATTCCGCTAGCTGTAATAAAAACATTTAGGTACCTTGCCAATTTATTACTTATAGAAAAGGCTTTTATTGGTACGCCAGTAAGAATAAATGTGAGACTTTTTTTAGTAATTATTTTAAATTTTGTTATATTAACAAAACCTAACTATATTATAAGGTGTTGAAATGCAACTCTGTCGTCAACTCACATATTCACGCAACCCTGTATTCTTTTTAATATACTTGCTTTTTGACTTTGAATTAATAAACATCATTTTGTGTCTCTATACTAGAAGCGCAATTTTCCAAAGTCTTTTTACTTGGAACTCGAATCACAAAAAGGTAATACATTCAACAGGTTATGGGCCCAGGTGCAAATTCCTGGGGACCAAGTGAAACATATAAAGTAATTCTGTATTGCAATGAGTTCGTCGCTTTTCAATATTGAAAAATTAGATGAGTCTAATTATGACTCGTGGAGTTTGCAGCTCCAAAGTGTCCTGGTGCATCAAGAGTTATGGTCCGTTACGTGCGGAGAAACTGCTCATCCAGCTGAAGGTGCTGATGTGCGACTATAATACTCAGCATTACTCCTATGCAAATAAGCCACGTGAAAAACAGCAAAACAGCGAATGAAGCATGGAAAAGGCTAGAAGAGGTACATCGACCAAAAGGCCCGGTGAGAAAAGTAACATTGTTCAAACAATTACCTGCTACTCGAATGACTGATGGCGATTGCGCCCAGCAATACGTTTGCAAATTTTCGGCAGTTGCGGAAAAA